GCTTACTGACCTAAACAAACCTCCACACGAACTGAGCTAACCCTTCCCTACCCCCCCCCGTCCACCCACATCCACCCGTCGCCCCATAACCAGAGCAGTTTCATCCGTTAAAGTGGCGGGACGTCCTCGTGGACGCAGCCATTGTTCGGCAGTGAGCAACCACAATGGGCTCAGAACACGTCACCATCACAGCTCTGCAAGCGCAACATCATTGGGACAGAACCCGCCAAGACAGACCGGCCAGTGTCCATAGGTTCTACTGAGTTTACAGCAAGAAAACATAAGAACCAGAAACATAAGAACCAGAGTGTCGGGTCAAGAAGGACCTAGGTTCTATTTTACTTTGGTTCTAAGTGAGGTTTTCATTCATATAAATCTTGGTTCAATACACATACTGTATGCACTCAGGATGTCTGATATTAGCTTTTGTTTGATAGCCGAAATACCACAAACATGTGATTTCTGATTCCAATATCAACCGATACTTGCTGCCGTTTTTCACCAAAACTATTTCTAGGTCACGTCACACGTCTCCTGTTCTGGACTAAACCTACTTTAATTGTGATGCCACACTAAAGACATTCCACAGATTAGCACATCTGTCCAAAATCATTTGTTAAAGCAGGTTCATTAATCTGGCAAAACCCAAACACTGTGTTATTAGGCTTTCATTATTGGAGCAAAACCAACAACGATTTTTACTGATAATGATGTCACATAATAATGCTAATATCTGGCCGATAATATTGGCAGACCAAATATAATTGGTAGGCCAACAGTATCGACCATCCCTAATATTTATCAATATTTTTTGTATTTTTCATGCTGTGTCCATTTGTTGAATATTAGAAATGTAAACCTATACTGACGACCTCGGTCATCAACATGATCGATGGTTCACATTTTAAAATGGAAAAAGTGATTCACTGCTTACTGGTCTCACCATTGGCTGACTTTCTACGTCACGTTTTTTTTCTATTTTTTTTCTGCAGTGACTTCATGCGATCCCTGATCAGCAGCACCGACTTTCGTTCTCTGGAGGTTCGGCTCTTCAAAGCAAAGGTAAAAGTCCGACTTTGGCTCGTGTTTCCTCTGAAGATTTAACAGTAAGTGCTAAAACTCCCCACCCCCCCCCCGCCCCACACACACACACACACACACTGCTGTAGTTGCTCAAACTTCCTCAATCAGTCACAAACACCGCCTCCCGCCCGTCTTTCATGACTCCGCCGGTGTAATTATCGTGAAATAAACACTGGTGAAACACTTTGAAGAGCAATACCAAAGCTCTTCTTTTCAACAGAGAGGAGCTCAGGCCTCATGCATAGAAATGAGGAAAGCAACACCGGAGAGAGAGAGAGAGAGAGAGAGAGAGAGAGAAAGTCTGCGTTCTCTTTTCATAGATTATCACGCTGCTAATCTCATTAAAGTTCCCAGCAGTGAACATGCCGCCCACTCCACCCAGGCCCAGTAATCAGCCCCAGACACACACACTCAGGACCCATCTGAGATGGACCAGGGTTTGACTGAAGCCCGGACCAGCTGGATGCTCACAAACAAGCCCCTCCCCCATCCCGACCAGGAAGCCCAGAGTTACTGAAAACAGAGTTTGGAAACTGAGCTCCTGCTCAGGTGGAGGAGGCTGAGTAATTACACACTGGCTCGTTAACAGCAGAGCTCGTTGTTGTTGTTGTCAGTGGTTTGTGGTGGTGAGAAACGTAGCAGGGGAATTGGGGGGTGGGGGGGGGGAGGTTGGCTAACTGCCAGATGGACTATTACCTGGACCGCATTCAAGGAGCAAACAGGTGCATTCTGAAAAAAAAAAGGCAGTGGTAATCTGAGGCTAGGCTAAAGAGCAAACACAGCTTAAAACACATAGACACGCTTATAATGAACACAAAGCTACCACGTGCACGTAAGCATGTGGGGTGTGTGTGTGTGTGTGTGTGTGTGTAGTCGACAAGACAGTGTGTGACGTGAAAGTTAACTGTGAGTTAAAAAGTCAAAAAGTCAATGTAGGAAAGGCTAACGGTTAGCCAAAAGACTGAAACTACGAGGGAAAGTAAATTGAAGTCATCTGTTGCCAAATTTAATATCCAAAAAATTTGCTAGTGTTTGGGGAGAAGCTATGAAATAAGCATAATTTGTAGAGACAAATTGTTTTGAAAGGCAATGTGAAATGGTGTTGTACCACCAGGGGGAGACTTACTTACTGATTGCGAAACAAAGTTGCATCAAAGTATCACACATCGTTCAACTCCAGTTGTCACAGAGGGCAACTTTTGTCCGTGCGGTTGAACAATTAGGCCTATGATAAGAAGGTTGCTGGTTCCAATCCTTGGAGGATGTTCTGTAGTGTTTGATGAGCACCAGTAAACGTCACTGCGCCCCATTTCTTCGTCAAATGTTGTCTAATAAGAGAATATTCTTCAATATATTCATCCCTTTGACTAATTTATGATCACATCCAGGTTCATCGTTGACGTTTATTCACTGTTTCTCTTCTGTGGTTTCACCTGGAGCAGCAGCTGTTCCTGTTCCTTCTGGAGGAACAGCGAGGAGACTCAGCCACACCTCAGCGTGGATTCATCAGCGCCGAGCAGCTCCTGCTGGAGCTGAAAGCCGGGGGTATCCGTCTGGAGCAGGAGGCGTCCGTCAGGCTGGAGCTGCAGCGTCTTCCTCCTCTGGACCTGCTGGACTTCCTGGCCTACCTGCCTCTCTTCATGCTCATCCACAAGTCCGTCATCGCCAACCCTCTGGACGACTCCTGCACGTCCTGACCTCAGTCGTTTGGACTGTGGAGCTACAACAACACTGAAGGTGGCGGTGGTGGACACTGGACTCAAACCAGTGTTTCTCACATGTCCTGTGCTTCTGTGTGAAACCCAGTTAGAGAAAACCATGGGATGAAAACGTAGACTCTACACAGAAAGGTCGGGAATCAAACTGGCAAACTAGTGACCAATTCGGGAATCAAACTGGCAAACTAGTGACCTTGTTGCTGTAAGGCAAGCAGACCAATCACATTTTCCATCTTGCGCTCCAGTCTTTTTTTATATTATATAATATTTGTTACAATATTTTGAGCTCAGTACACAGCAGTGGTCATCAACTGTTGGCCTGCGGGCCAAATCTGGCCCAACAAACCATCCAATCCGACCGGTAACTGGATTCCAAAATTAACATTAAATAATAACGTTAGACAAAATAAAAAATATATATTTAATTTTATTTGAGTGTCCAGCCTCCAGGGAGTCTGTCCAGAAAAAGTCTGGCCCTTTGACAAAACATACACTGCCGTGCTGTTTGACTGGAGTCGGTTTATCTTTGTCTCTGTTTGTTTGTTTGGTTTAATCTTAATGTCTTAATGACTTCATTCATTCATCAGTTTCTATTAATCATCTGTTGAAAAACTGCTAAACTTCTCCTCCAACCACGACAGAAATCCTTTTTGCGTGTTGTAGTACCCTTTTAAACCCATAGTGGCCACTTCATTTCGTCACATCTTTAAAGGTAATTCATTTGAATTCCACCTTTTATGTATGAGCTTTATTCTAGAGTTCAACTACAGGGGACTCAAACTCCAGGCTAGTTTTAGTTTTCTTTTGAATTTATTAATTCATCATTAAAAAATGCAAAACAATCTTTTTTTCTTTTTTAAATTTTATTATTTTGTGTTCATATCTTATACATTTTTTAAAATAAATTTTCTAGTTATAGTGCGTTTTCCTGTTGTAAACTTTCAACAAAAACCTTTGACAACTCCAGTAACTCCAATGAAATTGCAGCTCTCTATAAATTGTCTACGCTCTGCTCTCAGGAGCCCCCTGGTGGTCTGTAAATAAACCTACTTTTAGAGAATGCGCCCTTAAAACTTATAATTTATTTTTTTTTTTTATGTTTTGAATCTTTGTGATCACATCATCAGTTTCACAGTCAACACACAAGTGTGTGCTTGTGTGGGTGGAGGGATCGGGGCTCCGGAGGAGGAGGAAGAGGAGGAGGAGGAGGAGGAGGGATTTTCTCTTTCTCCTTTTCTCCCTCCAGGTGGTGATTGTTCAGCGGCATGCTGCTGCTGTCAGGAGGCACACGCCGTCAGCCAGTTCCACTCCGTGTCTCCACTCCAACAACACACGAACCTCTCATTCTCTCATTAAAGCAGACACGCGTCCGGTTTCAGGCTGGGCCCGCCCTACCTGTCAAACTTGGTTTTTCTACCAACGCAGACAAAAGAAAGTCTCCGCTGCTGATGTCTGAGGTGGAGTCAAACCACTGTCGTCTCCCTCCACCTGCTAGGTTACAGTTAAGGCCAAGTTTAGGAGTAAATGTTCAGCGTTAACACCCTTGGCATTTTACGCGCACCAAACCAAACTTCTTCTACGTCTTCAGGGACGTAGCTGTTTGGAAAGATGTCCCGTTCAAATCACCATGGCAACAACAAATCACAGAGGCGTTAACTCTATATACTGTATGTTCCGTTTTACTCTACGGTCTGGTCCGGTATCTAAACAAAAGCAACTAAATGTATGTTTTACCTCAGCCAAAATATGGAAACTTTTTTTCGAAGTGGAACAAGACGTTCGACGTTTGAGATGTTTTTGTTTGGTTTGTTGGGTTTTTTGTTTGTTTGTTTGTTTGTTTTGTTTGTTTTTAGTATTCTGCGCCTGGAGTATCGTGGTTAGACTTAGGTTGTAATTAAACGTAAAAATGTTAATTCTGTGATATTATGTTGGAATCTACGTGATTTACGTTCAGTAGAAGAACTTCGTCATATTTGTGCGTAACACGTGCTTACTGCAGTTGTGCGTAAAAGCTGGTTTTCTTTGTGCCGTCTGTCCTTAGTTAGAGACCGAACCAACTGAGCAGAAATACGCGCTCTCCTGTGGCTTAGTGGTGGAGCTGGATGTGCACTTTTGGTTAAAAAAAAAGAAAAGAAAGAAAAAGACAGGCGAGTCCACCTGTGCGTAATCTTTGCGTAAAAGTAGTTCATCTTTGTCCCCCCCGTCCCCCGCGGTACACCGTGTACTCTCGGTGCCACTAGTACCTCCGTTTACTCTCTGTACATGAAGCAGTTACACATTAATGTTAACACATTAAACGGGTTTTCCCAGGATTTGAAGAGAAAATGTCTCCACGTGGTTTCTGTTCTATTAACAGTCCTAATGTTCTAATCAGTAAGTGGACAGAAGGCAGTGAAATCACCAGGGGACTGGCGGAGAAGTACGTTAGGGTGGCATCAGGCTTGATGAACTTTTGTTCCAAAACACTCGTTCGTAAAAGTTTGTACTTTGAAAGTTTTGTGAAGAAATGTCAAACGGTTCTTTTTTAATTACTCCATACACTTTTGTTTTTATTTTTGGGACCCGGAATAAAAATGTTGAGTAAAGTTGTATCTGTTTGTCCCGGCTGTGCAGTTGTTACCTCCTACTGTCTCATCACTCTTAAGATAATATATTTAAACACGATCTCCGTGGATTTATGCACAAACACCATGTCCATGTGGTTCCTTTGGTGTTTACTGTCCAAGTTCCAAAACGTATTTGAGTAAAATTTGAAGAATTCACTTCGGAAAACCTGTGCGTAAAAGTAACAATTTTTTTATTTTATTTTTTTATTAATGGTCGTAGTAGTAGCTTTATTTTATTTTTTTATTAATGGTCGTAGTTGTAGTAGTAGTTGTAGTAGTTGTTGTTGTAGTAGTAGTAGCAGTTGTTGTGGTAGTAGTTGTTGTAGTAGTTGTTGTAGTTGTTGTAGTAGTAGTAGTAGTTGTTGTAGTAGTAGTTGTAGTAGTTGTTGTTTTAGTAGTAGTAGCAATTGTAGTAGTAGTAGTAGTAGTTGTTGTTGTTGTAGTAGTTGTAGTAGTGGCAGTTGTAGTAGTAGTGGCAGTTGTAGTAGTAGTAGTAGTTGTAGTAGTAGTCGTTGTTGTAGTAGTAGTAGTAGTAGTAGTAGTATATTCAACAATAAAAGCACAGCAAAGACAGGGAAACACGTACTTCAGTATCAAATGGTTTTTATTCTTGGAACAGAGAGTAGAAAATATGGAAATAAGACATTTTTTATGTTCTCGTAAAGACGATCATAATAAAGAGCTTGCAGTGTAAAGAGACGACGCTCCGTTTGGACAATAGCTGCATAAGTGTTTTGATCACGTGTGAACTCCATGACGTCATGCTGCGATAACGTGGGGATTGTTTTCTCTCCCCCCTATTAAATAAGACACGTTGGTGCTATAGAATTCCGAAAGACAAAATAAAAAACGTGGAGTATCAAACTCCACCGGTGATACAGAGGAGCCGGAGCAGAATAGACTACACGTCTACGTCAGTCACACACAGGCAGGAGGTGTAGAAGCGACTTGGTCATATATATAGGCAAAAATATATACAAAAGTACGAGTATAAAACATCTATAAATCTCTTACGTACAAAAATATCTTAATATACCCCCCCTCACCGACCCTCCCTCCCCGGAAAAGGCGTATGACATAGAACTTTATAGAATAGATCAGCGACTTGGAAGCATGTTCTGACCAGAGGGTGTTTGGTGTTCTGTGATTGGGTTTAGCATAGATGAGGAGTGTTAAATATGTTTTTTAATGTGCTGCAGAAAGTGTGCTTTCATTTTTATGTCTTTCTTTCTTTTGGGGCACAGACGTTTGGATTCCCACGCCGTCAGCAGTAGAAGAAGAAGTAGAAGAAGAAGAAGGAGCCGGAGCCGCGTCTTCTCCTTCAGTTTTTATCCTTTGGCGCTGATCTCTCCGTCCTCAGAAGTGTGTTTTTGTTTTTTGTTTTTGTTTTTTCAGGGCGTTCAGCTCTTCTTCGGCTCTTCGGTGTCTCTGTCTCTTTAGTCTCTTTGTGGTGATGGACGCAGGAAGTGCCCGACCGCGTGCACAGCCGGAGGAGCAGCCTCCTCCATCCTCAGGACCGTCAGGACCACAGTGGACGACCGCGGTGAGAGAGTTGATCCAGGTTTCTGTGCGGAACAGGAGAAATCATACATACGTTTAATAAATGTACCAACGTTTCCACTCCATCCATGCCAACCCCTGAACTAACAGTTTTGTTTGAACTGATTTGAACAGTTCCAGGGACGCGCACTAACGCCTCCGGGGGCGGCAGGTGTCCCATAGAGGGAAACGGAACCGCCGATCATGAACACTGATCAGTAAGTTAAATGACAAGAAAATATTATAATGGACCAAGCATTTAAACGGCTGGGGTTCCGAAAGAAAAAAAAACAAAAAACAAAAAAAATTCTACTTAAAGTAGTGTTGGACCCTGTTTTCAGTAAATATGCGTAAAAAACAAATAAATAAAAACTTGTGTGCGAGATCATGTGACTTACTTCATAAACAGGATGTTCAGAACCAGTTGGCGAAGTCCAGCAGCTCCTGCTCCTCCGGGCTCAGCGGGTCGTACGACCCCTCGTCAGAGGAGTAGGACGACACCGGAGACCCGGCCATGGAGTTCATGTCGGCCGAGTATCCCTGCGGCATGTCGGGCGACAGAACGCCGGACTGGAAGGCGGCGCTGACGGCGTCGTGCTCGTCCAGCAGCTGCTGCAGCGCACGGATGTACTCCACGGCCGAGCGCAGCGTCTCCACTTTGCTCATCTTCTTGTTGGCCGCGCCGTTGGGGACGTGCTCGCGCAGCGTGGCGAAGCCGTTGTTGACCAGCTTGACGCGGTTACGCTCACGCTCGTTCCTGCGCGCCACTGCGTGCGGCTGCTGCTGCGGTAAACTGTAGCCGAAGGTGGCGAAGTTGAGTCTGCGTTTGCAGCGCAGCAGCTCCGGTGAGGAGGAGCGCTGCTGCTGTTGCTGCTGCTGCTGGTGCTGATGGGGGTGGGGTTGATGCTGATGCTGCTCCTGCTGCTGATGCTGTCGCTTCGGCTGCTTGGAGGCGGACTTGCCGCCGACGCACGGGCTCTGCTGCTGGATGCTCTGCGCGGAGAAGAAACAGGCGGCTGGCATCATCTGCGGCTGCAGCTGAGTGGCGTTAATTTCCATCCCGGCTCTGTGATCCGACACCAGCTTGAAGAGTTTGAAAAAAAAAAGAAAACTCCAGAGTACACAGTGGAGTCAGCAGGTCTCTGTGGCGGCGTGTCCCGCTCGTGCCGTTCACGTGTGTCCGCGGCTGTGACGCGCTCCTGCTCCACTGTTTGCGCCTCAAAGCTGCTCTGACTCCTGCGGCACAGACGCCACGGCTTTTACAGGCGTTTGGAAGCGGCCGTGGCCACGCCCCGCGGTCGCGTGGATCCACCTCGGGCTTCCACACATGCGCCGGTGCCGGTGCGCAGCGTGCGCCGGACGCGTGCCACTGGAGCCCTAAACAAATACACGGAGTCCGGAGTGTGTTCTCTCTCTCTCTCTCGCTCGCTCTCTTCTCTCTCTCTCTCTCCTTCCTCCTCTCC